TACTTATTTTTGTCCAGCTTTAAAATCGGTATCGGTTATCGGCTACATGAGTTTTAAAATATCGGCATATCGGATATCGCCCAAAATCCCAATATCGTGCATCCCTAGTATTTTTTAATGCAAGGCCTTTCAGAGTCTATAACGCAGAGGTATTATTATTTTTCAGGGTTTTAACAGGAATAGGTGGAGTGCAACTTTTCTACTTCTGTTATTTGCTTTGTTTCTCAAAATAAATGCATAACGATATTACAGCTTTCATTGATTTATTTCAAATTTGAAACATTGTCTAGCCTGTAAGGTGTAAAGAAAAAAAAAGAACAAATTAATCGAATCGTATCGTATGGTGGTGCATTCTTGAGTACGGAAAATAATCGAATCGTTGGGTCAGGAAATCGATACTGAAGCGAATCGCCATGATGGGTGTGATTTACACCCCTAAAGTGTAATGACAATAAAAGCTGGGAAAAAAGAGTGGAGTGGCAGCGCTACCCATGTGGCTGTTCTTCACCAATGTTGAATATTTGTTAAAAGTATTTCCTCTGCATGAATTTGTTCTTTTATGTTCCTAGGATGGGTTAACTCTGCATTTAACCCATCCCCTGTGGGAGCAGTGGGCTGCCAGTCTGCAGCACCCAGCAGCGTGGGGTTGGGGGTCTTGTTCAGGGACCCAGAGTGCATTCTTTAGGGATTGGACTGGGTGCTTGCATCCTTCTCAGAGCGAAAGCGCACTGCTCTAACCCACTAGGCCGACACATTGGGTCAATTTATTAGGACATAACAGGAATGCTTTGCTTGGCAATCCCATATCTGAAGTTAGGGCTAATGGTCATCAAACATCCTCATCTTATGTGCTTTTGAACTGTTTTTATTTGCGTTGCTCTGGTTTCAGCGAAAAGCTCGAGGTGACCAGATGAGAGACAGACACGTCTCCCCTGAAGCTGCTGCAAGGAAGCTCTGTAAAGAAAATATCAGGCTGCAGCCGGTGAGCGACATCTTTTCATTACTTTGGATCTCACTTCATCTTATTTATTGTTCTG